AAATAAGACGACTAAAGCTTGAGAATACAGGAAGTTTTGCAAAATTATATACGCCGTCGCTCAGTAGGTACTGATACCTGTAATACATGTGATACAATGATAACTCACGCATTTCCGCGTGTTTGTGTCTAATTTGCCTACGTCATACCTTATAACCAGCGTAGTGGCACTATATGGTATTTTAGTGTTATTATTATCATATGTATTCAGCAACGGGGCAGATATTTTACAGTAATAATTCTTCGAACTATTAATTTATAGATTTTTTCTTTTCCCTGACCTCAGATGATTTGATCCCAGATGATGTGTTTTCTACCAAAATGCAACTATGTATACCTATTACCTAATGTATATTATATGAACTAAATGTTTATCTTGTATTTCTTATGTCAATGGCACCGACTATAAAGCCGACTATAGTAATCAGAAAAACTCCTGAAAATATGTGTAACGTATTATCAAAGTTAAAGATAGAAATCTAATCTGTGTTTGTACGTTGCTTTTTATGATATTTTAATTTTTAAGCGAGTAATGAGATTTTTTATTTGCTTTTTTTCACTCATAACTCGTTTATACTAGTTTAAAAAATGAAACACCGTAAAAATTGCCATATATTATGTTCTCACCATTAAATTGTATGATAGGTCAATTCACTATAAAAATAAAACTAACAAGTAACAACACGAAACTTTATTCGGAGACAGAACATTATGCGATTGGCGGCGTCCTCGATAATACAATTTATTATATTTCCGTCACTTTCATGATTCAACTATTCAAGACTAGTTATTAATATATGCGGTGGCTTTTGCCAGAAGAAAAATGTTTGGGGGCCCTATTAAGTAAAAAAGAAATTGTTGATTTATAACTGTTGATATAACTACGTAACTTATATGTACTCGTATATTATAGATACATCTGCTTTTTTCTCCAAAATACAATCATACAAGTACAGAAAAGATTGTAGTATAAATCTGCAGTATGAATTATAATAGTGGATTAGAGGTTATAACTAATTAACCAATCATTCGACTTTCATGTAATTCTACTAATCTAATATTATTATGTTAGTTGTAATACTTGTAAAACCAGAAAACATACTGAATAAATTATTATGTGAACAAGCGGTGACCAATTAATTATATTATGATTTATGTTGGCGGTAGTAGTGGTATTCTTCTATAGTTTCATAAATTGGTGTTCTGTACGATTTTAAATTTTGAAATAATTTTTTGATAACATTTTTAGTAAATCCGTCTCTGTATTATAATACAGGTACTGTCGCTTTGTCTCCGGAACATCGCAAAGGCACCTTGATAATTATTTAATAAATAAACTACTTTTCGATGATTCCTAAATTAAAACTATCAGTGAAACGGATATCACGTTTTACAAACATTCCATGCCAAATACCAATCAAATGCCAATCTCCTCACCTACTAACTATATTTAATAAAACACTACCGGACAATCATAATATGATAGACGTCTCAAATGCAGCTGGTACAGTGACTAAGTGACATATAGGTACTTGGCATACAAGACTTAAATATAAATAACTTCAGTCATGTGAAGATGACTCTGTGCGGAGACTTCCCACAAGTTATATCACAGTTTCATACTAAAAGTATTAATTGTAAATATTCGAAAAAAAATATTTTCTAAAAAGAAAAACGTCTATTGTATTGTGTTGAAAGGCTTTATACAAGGAATTTTGAATGTTCATAACTATCGCAGCATATCACACGGTATTTGCATGCTTTCATTTATATTATTTGGTTGTGTAACTACTAAACGAAAATCTTTTATGGATCAAAAAAATAACATTTTAAAACACATTTATCTTGATTTTGTTGAAACGAACAGCCTAACCTAACCAGCGGTTACTTCTAAAGGATACATGAACTTCATTTATTATGAGTTCATAACCTCTACTTTATCGGTTAGCAACTCTACACGGTTAAAAACTAACCACAGTAAATAAACCATTTTTCATTTTTGTGAGGCGCTATACGGGATAAACTTTAAATAAACCCATTCATTAATGAACTTCGGATCAACTTCTGACACACACACACACACTGAAAAGTGAAACACAATTAATACACATACATCGAGTATTCAGTGTGTACACATTGTTATTATTCTTCTTATTATTATTATTATAATAATATGTAAATAACGACGTCGGCCGCTCGTTCTCTCGTTATTAAATATCCAGCGGCGGCTCGTTAGTGCTATATAAATGTTTTAATATCATTGACGACTGTACGATACAATAATTATAATAATAATAATAATATTATATAGGATAATCCGTTTAATATACGACAACGTACGAACGCGTGCATAGAGGATAAAATATAATAATAATAATAATAATAATATGTACCATACTAAATGTAATATGGTCGCGACGGGACGCCGGCGATGTTGCCCCGCAGCCACCGCCGGCTTTTCAATAATATATTATATTATTATTATTATATAAATAATAATAAATACCGTCGCGCGCCCAATACATGCACATTATATTTACATAATACGCACGTACCTATGCCGTACAGACTATACAGAGTGATTTTTTTTGTTCTACCGCTGTCCACAACTTTTTTCTCTCGTCCTTTAAGGGTATGCGTAGACATTTGCGAAAAACAGTTGAGCAGTATTTTATTGGTTTGCATGATGCTTGTATACAACCCACACTCCCCCGAGAATAAAAAAATCGGTAAAATTATATTTATCGGATCATATAATTAGAACACGAGATGCCGGGGGTTGTGATGCATTGGTCGGTTCACGATTTATGAAAGAATATCACCACTCTGTATATAAATCATACAACGCCTCGATGCCGTCGGGTTCCGAATCGTCGGCGCGGCGCATCAACCGCGCACGCCGCGGTTAATTTAAAATAATATTAAAAACAAATAAACGACGACGAAATAATAAATACAAATAAATTACCGTCGACGGCGATGATAGTTTTAATAATAATAATAATATTATAATTGGAAACGTTAAAAAAACAAACGGCCCGCGGCGACCTGGCGCTATGTACGATGTATACCTTGTTTCTATATTTTTTTATGTTTTTTACAATACAATATGATAATAAAATGTGCACGCATGTATAATATAATTATGTTACGTGTAGACGGTTCGGTTATTGGTATACTACTAAAAACCGAGAAAAACATCTATTGACGAAAAACACTTAAGCGACTTCAAATCTAGAAAGAAAAAACGGTATCACAAGAACTGTCGTTGAATTATTGACACGTGACAATGATCGACTTCAGACGCAGGAAATAGTTATTAAAAAAACGAATAGGAAAAAAAAATGTGAACTATTTATGCTTTCCAGAACATCTGACTTCGGATAGGTACTCAGGTAATTATCGCAATATGAACTTCCTGGTATGTAATAAACAAAACCCTTCAATCTGATCTTAAAATTCGTATTCAATCAACGAAAACCCCGCTTCATTTTTTTACAAACGCTTCCAAGAAACACTTTATTCAAATCCCAATACCAATTAATCCTGCTCTCACAACTCGCCTGGAACATGATGCACGCTTCCAGACTCTAACGGAACTGGTGCCGTGATCTAATAAACCAAATCATCTACAGGTTGTATGAACTATATGATAATTCCTTTTATGACATTCACAACTGTATTCTCGAGACTTGAATGAACATAACTTATGCATGGTACTGTACTTGCATATTGATGGTAATTTTTAAAATTTTAAAGCAATTTTTTCGTAAACAAAATAATAGGAGAATTTCAATTCTAGACTGGAGGAATACTCATTCTATTAAACCAATATTAAAATTCAGTATCATAATAGTTTGAACACAAATATACTCGACTATACCTATTAGATGAAATTTCAAAAAATAATCTCGTATTAAAATAATATGTATAGGTCCTTTAAAAAAAATTGTCCGAATGATTTTAGAGCTATAATGATTGAAATAGCTTACCATAAAATATTTATAGATCAAACGATTGCAACAAAAACATTCTTTCATCTAACGCATTATTATACTCAAAAAACTGCCTCTGTCCCATACTGTAGACCAAAAAAATTCTCTTTAAAAGACTTTTCTTCCTTGCTTTCTCAGCCAACATCATTCCCCACATCCAGTTATGTCTTTGGTCAAATTTTAATCAAGTTAAATTTTAATTGTTATCACATCTTCTAATCAACTTTTTTCCTTATACTTTTTAATAGAATGAAAGTAAATAGTTTCATAAAAAAATATTGAAAAGAAGTTTCAATTAAATAATTCATTGGGGTTGTTCATAATGTTTTCTTAATAAAACAAAAATATTTTTTGAATTTACAAAATAAAATAAGTTGTAATTATACTATTTATTCACATAAGCCATTACCACTACTATCTAGTACTCGAGTAAAACTATTCAAATCAATTTTTTAAGTATACTCAAATACGTTTTTTTAATACTTAAAAAAAGTCCTCAGACAAATTATTTTAAATACTTAAGTACCTATCTATATTTAAAATCGCATACTTTTTCTTTTTATACGTTAAATTTTAAATTTAATAACTTAAAAAAAAAATAAAAATTGGTGTAAAATAATCTATAAAACTAAGATAAGACATGAAAATGTTAAAAATAATGATTTATTAAGCAATACAAATATTAAATAGTATGTAATGTATACACATTTGAAATTATCTGTATACACTTTTTTAAAGTATCGGTACTTTTTATACTGAGAATTTAAATACGTATATTAAATGATTTTCAAAATAAATATCTGTATAGGTTTACTATAAAAAAGTACCATTTTAAGACTGCACTGTCTGCACATAACATTATTATTTATTTATATTACATATGCAAACATACTAAATGTTAGGTTTATAAGTTTATAACAGTATTATATTATAATGAATAATGTATATGTAGATATTTACTATTTACTATATTTACTACACTAAAATAATAGTAATAATAAGTTACCTGTATTCTCGCTTCAGTCAGTCCAATTTTCGACGCCAGTTCCTCCCTGCAACAAACACACAAGCTCATTTAAAAAATGTTATATTTACCTGTCAATATGTATGTGGGTGTACTTTACTCAGGCCCACACATGTCGTCTGTTTTCAAGCAAATATAGCCCGATATGTATGTAAATATTGTTTATTGTTTATTATTTTTATGGTACCTGTATTTTAGTTAAGAAATAACAACCATTAGACGACACAAAACAAATAATCTCAAACGAGTTTTTTCAAAGACGGTTTTGAAGATAAAAAAAAAATCTGAAATTCGAAGTAAGAAGATAAATTGAAATTAAATACGATTTGTAACAAGCCAAGTTTAACGGTGAAATAAAAACAAATTTTAAGTAAGTAATCTTTTTTATGTATATAAGTTTACTCTCTCATATATTGTATAGATTATGATTTATAACTGACTGACAAATAGTTTCCAATTCATTAGGAAGCAAAGTGCAAATATACGTAAATATGGTATAATTTGTATTATGTTATTATAACGCACTTTATGTAGATTACGTTCCTTAACTTTTGGTTCACTATAATATAACGTACAATTTTTAATGATTACTGTTGTTGTCAGATTTAAATATTTACACACTTAAAAGAATATTATTGGTAGCCAGTTAAGTATACATCGAAGGACGTAAGAGATAAAGAAGTACCTACATACATGGTTTGAAATGCATAAATAAAATATGATCGAATATCTCCGCCCACCTCTTAACCTAAAAATCTTGATTACGTTGCATTCGGCATACTGAAACTGCGATTTGGAATTTACAAGTATATATATTGCAATTTAATTCATCGTAAATATAATAATAATTAGGGTTTAGATGTTTATGAAATTCCTTGTTTTTTCTATTAGCCCGACTTAACGATAACCTAGATTTAATATTATACAAATTCCATTCATGCTCTACTGAATCAAATGTTACCATTTTTTTCTTATTTTTCATATTAAATAATTAAATATTAATGCTTATTTTCTGGTTTAGTGGCTATCAGCACAGGATTTTGTATTATTTTTGAAATCAAAACAAACGAAACGTTAAACTTTTATGTAGGTTATGTGTATTGCGTACACATTTTGTACAGTATTTATTTTGTTTATTGGTACAATAATAATTCAAAATTCTTTAAACTAAAATATTATGTTGGCAAATACTTATAATCCAAACCAATTTGAGGGCATACACATATACCTAAACATTTCTATATAAGTCAACTGGACACATCATTTAGACATTTGACCTAGTAACGGTGCTAGTGCATACCTTAGGTATAATACGTACCCCGATTTATATAATGTCATGCATAGATAAAGGGGCGAATAAGACTTGAGGCATTGCCAACTCACCTGGTGAACACGTCCGGGTAGTGGGTACGGCCGAACGCCTTCTCCAGCTCGTCCAGCTGGTAGCTGGTGAACGTGGTCCTGTACCGACGCTGTTTCCTCTTGTTGGTACCGCCCGCGGACGGCGGGCCACCGTAGCAGTCGTCCTCGTTGTCCGCCGAAGCGTCGTGGCCACCACCGGCGCCGCTCATGTCCACGATCCCGTCCCTGCCGTCACCGTCGGCGTGGTCGTCGCAACCGCCGTTTTCCGCGTCGTCGTCCGCACCGTTATCGTCGTCCACGGCGCCGCCGTAGTAGCCGGGTGGCGGCGACGAATAATAATCGTAACCGATCGAGCCGGTTCCGGGACCGCGGCCACCGCTACTGGCCACCGAAGCCATTAACGATCTGCAGTGTTGCTGTTGCTGTTGTTGTTGCAACTGTTGCTGCTGTTGCATTTGGTGGTGTTGTTGCTGTTGCTGCTGCTGTTGTTGTTGCTGCTGCTGCTGCTGGTGTTGGAGCTGCTTGTGTTGTTGCTGTTGTTGTTGCTGCTGTTGAGCCACCATAGCCGCCGCCACGACAGCGGACCTCTCTCGCATCATGGTAGCGGCCATGGCCACCGCGGTGGCCGCGGCGGTGCGTTGCCGGTCGTCGAACGGCACTGCTGCGTGCGTAAGTGCACACTCAGCTGACTGCGGCTGGTCGTCTTTCTGCAGTCCGTGGCTTATTTCGTCCACCGACGCCACGGCGGCCACTGCCGAAACTCCCGACGCCGATACCACCGCGGCCGCAGCCGACACTGCCGCTGCTGATACTGCCGCCGCCGCTGCTGCTGTTGAAACATAATAACACTCATCAGTACAGGGAAAATGCATTCATTTATCGTAAGTGCATTGGTCGCATTATACGCTCGACGAGGCCTACGACGAGTGTTGTTCGGTAAAACGGAGTTGGTAAAAACATTACTTTCAGATAAACATTATCATATATATATTGTCTGCTGACTGCAGTGATGGATGCTATTTGGGATGAGGTGTGAAATTTGACAAACTCATTATAGTCGTACAAAGAGACGCACGATGAATGGAACCGTAGTCTAAATTATAATATTTTTGTACATACATTACAAATATTATATACGTAACATGGATGATGAGGTGCGAAAATCACTTTTAATTAAATTGTCTGCTACACTGCAGCCGAGTCGTGGGTCGATTTATAATATCTGTAACCTTTAACTATGGTGTCATATTATACATATTATGAAGATAATTATTTCTGTACCTTGTTTCGATTCAGTGTTTCTTTTGTCTGTAGGGGGTGTACTTAACATGTGCATTGTGCAGACACAATCTTCGGCATTAGGTTTGGCATAAAGCTTAGGATTTCGTCAACAATCACGGATCAACACGGGATAGCGAGGTTTATAGATATAATTTATTCGGTATTATAAAAACAGCATTACATATATATATATATATATATATATATATATATATATATATTTAATGCATATATTATAACCACGAAGGCGGGATGTTTATAACAAGAAATAATGTTATGATAATATATCTACACGCGGTATATAATATGAACTATGGACACACGTCATATTATAACATAATACTATTATCGTGTATATAAATTGGTACCGCCGGGATGTCTGTTAATTATAATAAATATAATATGATGATATGATATATGGCGTGGTAGAAATAAATGTGTATTGAACTCGCGAAGGTAAATCGTCGGTGCAGTGGAGCGGTGTAATAATTAGTGTAATAATATTGCGAGTACATAATACAGAACAAGTGCAGTGTTCTGCAGTGTACGCATAGTTATTGTATATACATACTATATAGTGTAGCAATATTATTGGCATTGTATTTGTATATTATTAACTTATCTATATACATAAAATTCCAGATCCTATACGTAGGTGTATAATGTATATAGGATATACATCGCGCTGGTAATTGATATAACAATCTAGCCGACGTACCAATATATGAATCATATATTATATACATTATAGGTAATGGTATCGTTGTTCAATGGAGCGTGTACTACATAATATAATATAATAGTGTGTATATAATGCACTCACATTATAATTATACATAAATTTAACGACGACCAGTTGTTGTTTAATATGTACATTACACGATAAATTGAGATTATTTTTTCCATATATACCTGTGTACATGTATATATACATTGGTTGATTCAAGTAAATACCTTCCTATATCATTTCTACATTACCTATGTCCTATATTATACAAGATAATAGGCACCTTATATAGGTATAATAACAATAATAATATAATTTCGATCGATCAGCGAGTAGTGCGCACGATATTATTGTTTATTATCGTCGACCGCATAACTATTTTAATTTTCCCATATGACGTCGGTACGCATATAATATAATAATATATTATATTATATTATCATCACTATATACACGCGCGCTTGCGTACACCAGAGATCACCGGCTGTCCCGATTACACCATAAAAAATCAAATATAATATTTAATACATATTCTATAATAGATTGTGATTTTTCCTATTATTATTATTACTATTATTATTATTACGTTTCGGCAGCAATGGCGGCCGCCATCATTATCATATTATTATTATTGTCCTCGTCGTCAAGACGCGCCACGCAAACGCACTGCTGGCAGACACGCCACGGCCCGCGTGTCCCCACCGCGACCGCGACCGCGTATTATAGAGGCAGACGTGTGCGTACGACTTTCCCCCGACGACGAAAAGCCCGCCTATATCGTCGTCCGCAGCATCCGCAGACCTAATAGTGCATTATAATCTCTGTTTCATCTACCCGTGACCACGTATCTGTTACGATATCCGCGCGCGCAGCTAGGCAGTATAGGTATAATAATGTAGTATTAATATTAATATATTATTATCAATGGTTTTATGTGTAGAATATAATATGTACATAAATAAATTGGATGATATCAAACTAATTTTCCTCGGATTATCATTTTTTTCCAATTTAGAATAGGAAGTTTATCATAAAATAAACACAAGCTTAAAAAAACATTGTTATAAGTCAATAATTCAAAGGGTACAGCTGCCACAATCTCAAATCAAAGTTTTTATTTTTAATTTACAGTTTTCAATATTCATATTATTTTAGTATTTTAATAATCATCTGCAATTACAAAATGTGTCTTAACTAAGATTGTATAGACCCTAGAAACATTTTATTTTATTTTATATAGGTACACGTGTAGGTCATATGAACTGTATTTGGTAGCACGTCAATTCATCGTATATATATATATATATATTGTTTTTAAATCAATTACTGCTGACAAACCTAGAATTTAACGTTACAATACTATCACTGATTATAATCTCTACGGTAATTGTTGATTATCTGTGGCTTTAATGTATTTCGTATATAAAAGTGTACCTATACAATACAATTAAGACGTAAACGATATTGGCGTTAAGTCAATTTGGAAGTGCAACCAATATTTTAATAACAAAATAATATCGTTCATTTAAGTGACTGAAAAATATTTAAAAATACCGACCGCAACCACGTTCCAAATTCAACAGACACTAATGTTAAGAAAACACTAAATTTACTAAAATAAATAGCTACTAATAACATTATTGATGCAAGTTCTCATTCTGTAATAGCTACAGTATCATCTCAAATTCCTACAGAATGTGTTTTATGAATCAGTTACCTAATTCATAGACTCAAGCGTACTATACTACGTGTACGTAAACAACAACTTCAATTACCAAACGATCTAACCGATTTTAATTGTATTATATCTGACGAAATGACAAAAACCATAACTGATAATCTTTTTTTACATTATGACAGTAGTCTTGAGAGCGACAGAATTTTAATTTTTTCAACACGAAATTTACTAAAGACAAAATTTTTAATCTTCAACCGTCATTGTCGTTTTTTTCAACGTCAAAAATAAATGGGGAGATAGACTGAAAGTCCTAAGTCTGTGTTAAAATGGGAAGGAAAATGTTGAATTTAAAACAATATATACATGCGATGAATTGACGCGCGATAAGTTGACGCGCGATGAACTGACGCGCGATAAGTTGACGTGCGATGAACTGACGTACATCCCTGTATTTATAGTATAAGCACCTCGAATATGCGAAAAATAACATGATACAATTGAAACAAAGTTCAAATACTAATTTTATTGTATTGCAGTATTTGTGAGCACTGAATATAAACAAATATTTAATCGTTTATTTTTATCTTATAGAAATAATATTTTGCTACATATAGTTATATAATATACCTAGTATATTATGCGCCTGACTATCCTGAGAAGTACGACCGTCGTAGCTGGTAACATATACTTAGGACTTCAGAGAAATAAGAGTTGCATCTACAGTGATAGAGATAAAAGATACAGATTAATATAGGTAACTGCAGCAGGCTCTGGACACTTAAATATGACAACCAGGAAGATAATATTGTTAATTATGTAGAATGGTCATACTAATTCCTCCGAAAAAAATGGCGAATTCGTTTATCAGATTTCTCTATGCTTCTCGTATAATTCCTTATAATGTCCATTTTCTGATTTATTTTTATTTAGTCATCCAACTGTATAATAATATCATATATTCATATACTTATTAATTAATATTTATTATAATTTATAGTCGTAATAATATAATAGTTATTGTATCTTATATGTTTCTATCTAATATACAATGTTATTCAATGATAGGGAAAGTTGGGATTTCATTGCCGTGTAAGCATTTTCAAACAGAGCCTATAATATATAGATATAACAGCGTACAATCAATCATCTTAACTATAATGACCGCGTTACCGTAGTTACTGCTTAGTAAAAACTATCAACCTGCAACTGCACTCAGTACTACACTATACTCTATGATCTAACACCCGATCATCAACGCTGTATAAATGAACAACACTATCACACCGACATAACTGATAATACACAACCCAAAGAACGATGAGTGAAATAATCGCAGACGTGGAGGGCTCGGCGAAAGACCTGCACGAACCGGAAGACAAAATCGCGGCGGCGCTAATCACGTCCATACTGTTGGAACACTTCGGCGACGGCATTCCGGTGCATGCGGACATGGTCATGGACACGGTTCAGTATAGACTTGCCGGGGACAAGACGATGGCCGAGCGGGCCCGGGACGAGACGATGGCCGTGCGGGACCGGCGAAACGGGTGCTACTGCGTGTGGGCGGACCACCGAGCGTCGAGAGCGTACCGCTGGTGCCTTGCGCGGTTGGTCCGGTCCGGTCGAATCCGCGTGGTGTACGATTGCGGCTGCGGCTGCGCGTGTCTGGAGGACGGCGGCCGAAGCAACAAGTGTGCCAAAAGAGGAACTAAAATAAAACGATGATCGGAGGGGTCGTCGCGACAACGGTCGCGTTGCATGTATGGGTAAAGTCCTATAAATAAATACTGAAAAATCGCCAGTTTCGTCAATCGCGTCGCGCCAGTGCGGGGAGAGCTGCCTTTGAGTTCTTCCTCTGGCACACTTGTTGCCGCCGCATCGTACACCACGTGAATCCGACCAGACCGGACCAACCGCGACAGCCACCAGAAGTAAGCTCGCGATGCCTGGCGGTCCGCCTACAAGCAGCAGCACCCGTCCCGCCGGTCCCGAGCTGGACGATACTGGACCGTGTCCAGCCACTTCCGCGTACACCGGAAGGCAGTTGCCGTAGTGTTCCAACAGTATAGCTATGATCAGCACTGCCACGATTTTGTCTTCTGGTTCGTGTAGATCTTTCGTCGAGCCATCCACGTCTGCGGCT